GTTTGGATCGGTGACGTCTGTGTTTGGATCGGTGACATCTGTGTTTGAATCGGTCGCAGAGGTTGTTTGTGCATTTTGATCTGGTCTTCGAGGTAAATTTGGCCTTTTGGTGGATTTTCTAGCTACATGCTCGATTCTATTGTTTGCCATTTTTTCTAGTTAATTTTCAAAATATCGTAAGCTTTTTCTGTCTTTTAAATATCAGTCTTCCCTGATCTGATTTCAGTTTTCGTGTTTTATCACGCTTTTTGCTTAATTTCACTTTCGAGTATCTCATCATAAATAGTTTAGTTTTCTTTGAGTTTGTTTACTTGAATACAATATTGTGGCGAAATAACGGTGCCAACTCGTCGCCCACCGATCTTAATTCTTCCAGTAACATTCACGATTATATGAAAATGGATATCCGCTTGTCGACTTCTACCAACCGAATGCGAGCTTTTCGTGCACGTCGTGCTCTCGTTGAGACTGCTGAACAAAAAGAGAGTCGCCTGGCTATTGACAGACAATACAGAAAACAGCGATTGATCGATTTTGGTGTCAAAAAAACAGTCGAAGAGAAGCAAACGCATCTTATATCACGTAGCCAATACGAAGTGAAACGTCTAGCCGATAAACATGCAAAATAAAACGCAAAGGAGAGAGAAGAATGTCTTACAGCCAAACGTGCTAAAGAAATGAACCGCCGACACAACTTACGAGCGCGCGAGACTGATGCGGAGCGAAATACTAGATTAGAACGTGATCGTGATCAACATCGGTAAGACTCATAGTTTCTTTGTTTTTTCTACCAAACATTCCTTTCTTTTCGACTCATAGGGCGAAAACACGTGCGAAAAATGATTCAAATATGGCAACTGACCGAAATTGCGCTGTACGCGGCTATAAAATCCTGACTCAAAATTGGTCACAATTAACTATCAGATCGTTTCCGAATCTGCATCTTCTTCGACCTCAGAACGACGAGATATCGAATTCTGTTTTGAAAATTAATTTTTCACGATTTACCAGTAAGGATCTTTATTGATCGGAAATCATCATTTTGAAACGTTTTCTAACTCAAAATAGGCTATGTTCGACAAATGTTAGAAACTTTCTCTGGTTTCGATGTTCTCGTGAATGGAGCACTGTTAGGACGATGCGGGATCGATACGAAAACTGGATTGATAGTTGTGTGCAGTGGTTGCCAGACCTCTTTACAAAACAATGCTACGCCTGCGTCGGCTTTGAGCCGCCTATACTCTCCAGATGATGTTTTGGATGAAGAATAACTTTTGTACCGTAGATAAAATTGACGTTGGTTAATGTTTTTAACCTGTTCTAACATAAAGACGAAACATCTCTGTATTTAAATCTAAATTCCTTTTCAGTTGGTCACTTAATAATATCCTAACTATGAACGGTAGAAAGACTTCATGGTTTCCATGAATACCATCAGTGCTCAAAAACCGAGCTACGAAAGCTAGAGACCTGCGGGAACAACTTTTTTTGGTTCCCGTTCCCGTGTTCCCGTTCCCGTATTGAAAATTTTTGTTCCCGTTCCCGCGTTCCCGTTCCCGTAACAAAAATTTTCGTTCCCGATCCCGTGTTCCCGTTCCCATAACAAAATTTTCGTTCCCGTTCCGTATTCCCGTTCCCGTAATGCTTTGAGAATAGCTACAATGATTTCATTATTCACATTCATCAACACTACTCCTACTTGATACTAGCTTTTAGCGACATCATGTTTCTCACAATACAAGATTCCGTATATTAAAAGTAAATTTCTGATTCAAGGCTCATAAACCTATTGAAACTTGAAACTTGAAATTTCAGTTGAAACTTGAAATTTCAATTGAATTCAAGTTTCAAGTTTGACATATATGTAATCATGATGATCCCAACTTCGATGCCGACGACGACGATGGTGGTAAAGAATATTGTGATTCTCATAATCTATGTTTGAATGAACTTGTCTGATTTTGTTGACTGATATTTGTTCTCTTTTCAATTATATTTCAAATAGTTATTGGAAATCGAATACTGTAAGATTAACAGATTTTAATGCAAACAGAAATCGGACATAGGGTTTGCCGGGAACAGAAATTTTTAATACAATTCCCGTTCCCGTGTTCTCGTTCCCGGAGTGTCCACCAGAATTCCCGTTCCTGAGGTCTCACGGGAATTCCCGTTCCCGATTCCCGCGGGAAACGGGACGGGAAAACACGGGAAAAAGTCGTTCCCACAGGACCCTAGTTCCTATCCTAAGACACAATTTTGGTAATAGTGTTTTCTACATATCGCTCACCGAAACCAGCTGATAAAATACTCAGATATCAAAATAAAACCAAATGAAAAGATCTTACACAGTCACAATTTCCTTCTCTAGGTTAGACATATCAGAAAACTTTAACTACGAATAAAAAACGATTCATAATTGAAATGTTTTTTTACAATGAATATTTCCTAGTTAAAAAACAATAACCTCTTGTCTATATTGGATAGTTTTTATTTAATTAACATAAAATGTTGATTTAAGATAATTTAGTGTTTCATCCAAATGTTTTGATAGATCCTGTACAGAAATAATATTTAAAGCTGATTTCATACAGATTATTGTTGTTGAAAGTAATTGTGCCACGCAATTAATTTCAAATGAACTTAATAAACTTTCATTTATGTCATATGATGAAAGTACTAATAACTTTTTTTCCCCTTTCAACAGAAAAAAAAATTAGTTCAGATGTTCTGAAAATCCAATATGAAAGTCAACTATCCTTCCATAAACTAGATACACGATCTAGTATATTCTTAGGATCTAAAACTTTACAACTCCTTTTTTGCAGTAAGAACTGAAAAATCGACTATAGAAATATATCTTCCAGCCAATATAAAATAATAACTGTAAATATTTTTGAAATAATTCGATCAAAATATTCAATAAAACTGACGAAACAATTTTTTGATATCCCTTATGAGTAAATTAGTTCAATTTTCGAATTACTCTAATTATTTGTGCTACTTTCACAACATATTTTTTTATTTTTATGAATAACAAAAAAATACATTTTCCTAAACAGTATAAAAAAAAGGTGTTAGCGCAATCCCTTGCGAAATTAAAAATATGAAACACGATGTAGCTGCTATAGACAATGTTCTAAAAGCTGTTGTTTTATGCATATTGGGTTACATTTCTTCATAATAGTTTACCTTACATTATAGACTTTAAACAGGATAATACTGTATATATGCTTACAATCATATGTTAGTTTGCATCATTTCTGATATTTTCTTGAAGTCTTCTATCACAGTCTATTATGACTCCTGGGTCCTGTCTGTCACGGTCTGTAATAAGTCCAAAGTTCGTCTGTCATGGTCTGTGAAGAGGAGGGGTGGATTCAAATTTCTATCCTTAAACACTGCAACACTCCTTTCAGATCGTGTTTCACAAAAGCTTGTCTTTGTTTTTCATATGTTTCTATTAATTATATTGTAAATCTTTAATCCCTACCTTTGTTCTCTTATACTTGTGTTCAGCTTATGTATGTCAACTGTTTTTGCTGACTTCTTTTTTTCTAATGAATATGTGTGATGGAGATTATTAACAGAATTTCTTGTAAATGTTTTTGTAGAATTATTACTTTGATAATATTTGGCTACAGAAATATATATTCATAAATTTTTACTCTTGTGAATGCACAGGACGAACTTTTCAATGGTCCACCCTGTGTCATGAAAAGCGGAACAGTTGACTGATTTTATCTTGTAGCAATCAGAGTAGGACAAAAAAGAAACCGTCCTGTGGTCTTATCTAGTACGATAAGTAAAAAATATACAATTTAATCATTGATTGTTAAATCTGAAAAAATAGTATTTTATTATAAATAAATTGTCTTTGAAGTTTTTATCTAATATAATGACTGATTTAAATGGCAATTAATTAATTAATTGACTGAATATAAATAGACTAAAATTTATTTTATTGTTTGTTTCCTTTGATATTTCAAATATTTGAGTCTTACTGACACAAAGTGACGTGTTATAAATATAAGTTTCACATTGTTAAATCTAAAATGAATAAAATTTGTTTTTATGACTCAAAAATAAAAATATTTTCATTTTAAAAATTGTTGATAATTAAATAGAAATTCGAAAGTGAAAAAGCTTTGTCTTGGATGAGAATATTTTTCTTGAAATAATAAAAAATATTTCTCTATTATTTTTGTTTGATAATTAATAGAAAAATGAATGCGTATGATCAACCAACTTATTTGTCAACTATTTTCATCTCAATGTCATTTAACATCACTTCGAATTGATTTAAGTCATTATCTTATTGATGTTGATATTGATGAATGTTTAACATCAAATTCTTATATATCATCGAATTCTGTTGAGTATCAACGTCAATCTTTTTGTTTGACTCTTCGTCGTTTATATATTCGAATTGAAGATTCATGGTTTCTTGAAAATCTTATTTAACATATACCTAATCTTGAACAAATGTCAGTGCAATTTCATACTACATTAAAATTCGATTTATCATGGAGATCGAATGTTGTAATAATGAAACAATCAAATGGAAATTGGTTTAACAAAGTAATAATGAAATATATCATATTTTTTATTTGCAAAAAAATTTTTCTTTTTAATAATTGAATATATTCTTTTGTTTTTAGTTACCAAAGCTAAGATATATTAGTTTAAAAACTTTTATTTATGATGATTGGAAATTTATTTATTTGAAATGGATTCTCAATAATTTAAATTATGTTGAAAAACTTCAACTTCATCTTAAAAATGATCGACTCAATGAAAGAAAATCTCAAGAGATAAGGAAATCATTGATTGATGCAAATTTCATTCGTCAAAATTGTTTACCTGATAGAATAAAGAATTTAAGTAATTTCGATTTCTATATTTGTTCACAACGGCAATTATCATTCAATGATATAGAAAAAATAACAAATTCATTTAAAAATCATTCTTTTTTCTTGATCATCAATTGACAAATGTTAATTGTTTTTTTGATCCAATAATGTTATCTCAACATATTTTCTCTTCTTTTACAAATATATTTCCATTTTCTCATCATTTTCTGTAAGATATTTTTCTTTATGAAAACTTGAAGAACTTTGTAAATTAATGAAATTCTTTTGTTTTAGTAATAATTCAAATATTTTTTGAATTGGCCACTTATTGGCAATATCTGGTTTGATTTACATCCATCACTCTATTTAATTCTTCAAGCAGTTAATCAATTAACTTCTAATCTTTCTTGTATCAAAGTATACACAAGTAAATTTTTTTTTTCATTTCAATGTTTTTCTTCTTCATCACTGAATAAATAGATCAGTAAACAAATTTACATGTTCACTGTGCTTTAGAATAAATGGTGACTCAGTTTTTTTTTGTTTTCCTAGTTTACGCGTTATATTTTAATTAAAAGATTTGCTGTCTTATTTCAAACAATAAGAATAAGTTTTAATTGAAAAACTATTGATCCATTTGTCTTTAAACAACAGCAGAATTAACAATCAACATATATTCACTTTCTTTTTTTTGATTCTGAGAATATTCAATTTCTGAATAATTTCTCATGTTTTTAACGTGATATAATAGCAAGTTAACAGATGAATTAATACATTTCAACCAACATATTCAAGTCGATTTAGTTAACGACTGAAGTGCAGAATGTGTTATACCATAAACATCAAGGGGGAAAACGACGGATTTTTTGGGATTTTAAATCCAGAAAAATCCAAAAATTGAAAAGCATTTTCCTCTGTGAATGATGTAGTTTCGACCTGAAACTCTTCCCATATATAGGTTTCATACTCCGTAGAAAATCTTAAAAGTTTCAACCCGAACAACTGTTTCCTTCTTAAAATATTGAATTGGCAAAGAAAAACTCGATTTTCTGATCGTGCCGTGAAATGAGCATTTCTTGCGAATTTATTATCTTGAGAAAACATCCGTTTGCGCTGAAAATTTTAGAGTATTCTAAGGATCGTGAAATCTAC